TGCATTGCTTGAGTGATTGCATCTAGAGGCACTTGGTGATTGTGTTTCACTGTGGATTTCCCTTGTTACTCTTGGTGTTTGCCGACACCTAAATGGCTTGGAGCAGCGAGGATCATTGAGCGGAGGGTGGTGTTTGTCTCCGGCTCTGATCGGTGGATTGTGAGGGGTTCTTGTGCCTTCTCTATGGGAGATCACGAAAGGCAACTCTAGTGGATTACTCGTGGCTTGTGGATCACATCTTGTGTTGGTTGTGCAGCACCCGGTTGCGGGTTAGGCGTGTGATGCCTATTAGCGCGTGAACCTCCAAGTAAGTGAATCGCCACAACGGGGACTAGCTTGCTGGCAAGCAAATGAACCTCAGAAGAAAAATCTTGTGTCATCTTGTCTCCGAGGAATTCATTGGTATTCATTGTGATTGATCCCTTGCCCGGCTCGGTATATCATCCCTAGCACTTGTATACATTCTTGTATACTTGTGTAGTCCTAGTTGTAGCTTGTGAGTAGTGTTGTTTAATTAGTTGAAAATAGCCATTGTGTGATATATAGAGATCATAGCATACTAGACTTGTGGATAGGTGGCTTGCAACACTTGTACTACTAGCGCAAAACTCGCTTCACCATTTAGTTGTCTAACCATTTGTCTTAATGTTGTTGTAGAAAAAATTTTATAGGCTAATCACCTCCCTCTAGCCATTTAAGACCTTTCACTGGGGTCTTTAACGGTCCTTTTAAGTGGGAAACCACTTTGCATTTGTCCCATGGGCTGTATTTATAGGAAAGGTGGGAGGACCTAATTTTCATCAAACTACACTTTGATTTTACAAATTGCAAACGGAGCCTCAACCTCAACCCTCTCCCCCTATCCCAAAATAAGTGTACATCTCGTACTTTGAGGTGTCAAAAAAACTTAACTTTGACCAAATCTATATGAAAAATACTAAGATATACAATATCAAATAATCATCATTAGATTAATGACATCATATATTTTTATACTAATTTTATTTAGAGATATAAATGGTAATACTATTTTCTGCAAATCTAGTCAAACTTGAGATTTGTTTGACTTCTCGGGGACGGAGGGAGTACTTGGGCCTTTTTACAAGAGGGGTACACTACTTAAAAAACATTTAGAAGACAAGTGCTTTTATTTTCAAGGCCGCATTTTTACTCGACCATCTATAAATGTTTTTATTAAACAAGTGGTTTTAGAAGACAATAAAAGGATATGATGGCCTCTAGAAGACAATGAATAGAGGCGGCCATATTGAAAGGGTTGTCTCTACATATCTATTTGTAGAGGTAGAATCTTATAAGGCCCGACATAGCAAAGTAGTCCACGGCCCAGTATCTAACCCATATAAAATCAAGTGAGCCCTAGCTCTCCCTCTCATTTATCTTGTCCCTTCCGTCTCCCACCCTACAATCCTCGTCCCTCCCATGGCATCCTTCTCCCCTCCCTGTCTTCCTCTCAACAGCCCCCTATACACATCCTTTGGCTAGGCACAACCTGCCTTTCCCTCTAGCCGATGCGAGCAGACTCGCACCCCTTCAAAATAGTGTGGCCCCGCCTCCCATTTGGCGAGGCACGGCATGGCCTCACTCATCTCCAGCTAGTGCGCACACCCCCGCCTCCCCCTTGAACGCGAGCCTAGACACGACATGGCCTCACTCATCTCCAGCTAGTGCGCACACCCCCGCCTCCCCCTAAGTTGAACACGAGCCTAACTAAATTTTCTACAGGCTCAAAAACACTAGGCAAAAGTGTTAGTGAAAGAGATGACACTAATAGCCACTACTTGCCTAGCCTATGTAATACAACGCAAACCCCCTAAATAATTCTAGTTGCAAGAGCATAACAGTGAGAGCACTAACTTGAGCGTTCCATGTTATTGTGACCGCGAGACGAGAAGAAATGGCGAGTTGACAACAAAGGCACATGGATTGAAAAAATACTACTAGTAGTATATAGAAGGGTGACACATCAACCATTGATATATACTTGTGCAGAGTGTTCACAGTTTCAGACAAGTGACAATCATTCCTTCCTTACAACCTTCGAACTATATACATTTTCCTCCTAATTAGCCGTTAAATATTTCCTCTATACAACACAGTAGCCATATCCGGTTAGCTGCACGCAACTTATGATTTGTCCGACAAGTCAATGTTTTTTTAGAGTATAAAATAAACATGAGCCTAATTAATTGAGAATTTGAGACAAAGTACTTGTTTGACGTTCGAATCAGCACAAAGGAGATTCCCTGTGAAATCTCAAATATTCATATCGACAAGACAATGCTATAATACAGCTGTCCTACCATGTCGCCCTGAACATCCGAGCTCAGCCAATGAAAAAAGAAACTGTCATCTATCTATCTATCTATCTCCTACAATTAAAAAGAACAAAAATAAGATAATTTTTTGGTGCGACTTTTTTTAGGTCGCTCCTCCCTTCCGGCCGTGCGATACCCCACGCGATAGAAAAAGAAACTGTCATCCCTACGATCCCCGCCCGCTTTGAAGAAAACAAATCGATCACCTGAGGCCACATACATGGAAGAAAACAATAATCATGCATAGAAGGAAACAATCATGTGGTGCCCCTCTCTCGCTCGGTCAGATATCTTTCATCTCCACATAAACCGGATCGTCGATCGACGCCAGGCCAACATCGATGCGCCCCTCCTGTCCTTCTCGTGGTGCACCTTAGTTTGTTGAAGAATTTGTGTGGGAGAAAGCTGAAGCAACTGCAGTTAAGCCAAAGATATGTCTCAATAGCATGTAGAATGCCAAATTTACTTTTCCTGCACAATTATCGTCGACGTGCCAGGTTACCAGTTGTGCTACAGGTCACTGCCACTATCGGAAACAGTAGCTTTGCCGTATGCCACAGGCACTCGGCAAAGGATTTGCCGAGTGTAACACTCGACAAACAGCATACGGCATCTACAGTGTCGGCAAACGGCTCTTTGCTGAGTGTTTTCTATCGGGCACTCGGCAAAAACTTTGCCAAGAGCTGAAACCGACACTCGACGAAAAAAAGTAACGTGACGGAGTGGAAACGGTCACGGCGCGTTTGCCGAGTGTCAAATCTCAAGCACTCGACAAACCTTCTGTATTATGATCCTCGGATACCAAGGTAATGAATTTTGATTGTGGATCGAATGCTGTTAACTAGATTTTGTATACGCTTGGTAAAAGAATTGTTGCGGCAGTACAAAAGGCACAATCCAAATTATTCCATGGATTAACTAAACTTTAGTTAAATTTTTAGTAGATGCATAGATAGTAAAATGAGAATTTCTGTCTAATATTTTGAGGCTCTCTACTGTCGCTTAGAAAAAAAATTATGTTGTCTCATAGGATAAAAATATATTCTATGATAAAAAAACTATGCATGTGCATGTTCAATACTTAGGTGTACTACATGATAGAGTTAACATGTTGGTTACAACAGTTCATATGGTATTGTCCATAATTTAGAGGGTATTAAATTTAAACTGGGTGCATAGTAGGCCACCTAGCTTTATTCTGGTAAATTCTACCTCTTTATGTGTTAGTCTTTGCCAATGGTATAATTTGTTCGCAAAGCTCAAGCAAGACAATTGGCAAAGATCAAGCAAAACGACTCAATGAGGTTGGCCCTTAATTTTAGTGTTTTCAGCATGTAGACATAAAATTAAAAAGTGGCTACTCCTTGAGAACATCAGTGGTGCCAAATAAAAGATGTGCAGGTTATACATGGTGAGTCTTGTGAACCTTCTGCAATTTCCTAAATGAATATTCCCACCATTAGTATATAGGTCCATTCCCCTGCATTTCTTCGTGCTCCCATTAGCATATACTATGAAAGTATTGTTGTGTTCATCACGCCCATTAGCATATGCTTTCTCTGTCCCAAAATATAAGTCGTTATTCGATACGTGTAGATTAAACTTTCTCAACTTTAACTAGGTTTGTAAAAAAATACGTGTAACATTTATATCTCCAAATAAGTTTATTATGAAAATATATTCAATGGTCTATGTAATGATACTGATTATGTATTATAAATATTACAATTCTTTTATATATAATTGGTCGAAGTTAAAAAAAGTTGTCTTCTCGGGAAGCAAGAATGAATTCTTTTTTGGGACAGAGGAAGTATATGAAAGCAGTGTTGAAAATATTTTAACAATCAAGTTTGTCTTTATCTGATTGGTAAGCTTAGACATCATAATTGCATCAAAAATTTTGACTCTCATGGACACCCTCATGGATCAATGCAAAGCATCCCAATCCTACAACATACACAAATGGCAACCTTAAAGTTAAGATATTTTCAAAGGGTGGACAATAAAGATCATCTTAGACGTTCTGCCATTAGAGTATATACGTGCAGACACATAGGCATGGTGGTGCAAGTGAGCAGCCAGCAGGAGTCAAGAGTTATGGGGTGTTTGGATCCCAGGACTAAACTTTAGTCTCTGTCACATTGAATTTTTATATATTAATTAGGAGGACTAAACGTGAGCTAATTATAAAACTAATTACATAAGTTTTGGCTAATTCGCTTGCCAGCGCCGTGTACAGGATGGTATGGAGATGTGGTGAAACTTATTCGTGGATTTATTGGCGCATGAAAGAAATGGATATCGGAAATCTCTTCCTGCCGGTATAAAACATAATCTTAGCCGCATCACGAAAAGATCTACACAGTAGAGTTTGTGATCCTGCGACGCCACACTCTCTGTGACTATGTAAATTTCACGTACTTAGCTTTTTGAATTAAATGTTACTTTAATGTCGGTCATATACTTTTATAATATTATTATCTTATCGTGCGATTCATATATTTTTAGTATAAAAATTTAGCTGTCATATACCAACGCACGGTACGCTACCTCTCTTAAAAGAAAAACTCCGCTACGGCCTGGTTTGGCTGATCGTGGTTTGGGCTGGATTCGGCCCCAAACCATGCCTCCCGTGGATTGCAGCCCACGTCTGGTTGGATTTACATGCTCCGTCAAAAATCGAATTTGGCTGCGCGTGGGTGGGAGTGGGTCACGGCCCGATCCACGCCGACTCACGGGTGCGAGAATAATCACCACCCGAGGCCTGGAACTCTCTCGCGTCTCGCTTGCACGCTGCGTCACTGCGGGCTCCCGAGTCGGGCACTCGCGACCTCTGCGTCCTCCTCCTGCGCCGCCGCCGCCGCCGCCTCCGAGCCGTCCACCGCATCCTCGCGGCCGTCCACAACTTCCGAGCGGTCCACCGCATCCTCGCTGGAGTTTGCGGCCTCCTCACCGGCGTCCGCTGCATCCGAGCCGGCCGCCGCCGTCCATTGCCTCATTGCCGGCGTCGCCCCGGCGGCCTGCTCTCTTGATCAAGGTTCGAAGTCATCTCCTCCTTCACCTCATCCCATTTTCCTTCCCCTTCTTCCTTCATCCACTTTTTTGTTGCTAGGGTTCAAGACGCTTCTACTCTCCCACCGGCGGCGGCGACGGCTGCTGCTCTCCCACCAACGGCGGCTGCTGCTCCAGGTACATTGATCCTCCTCTCCCTTTCGCTCCTCCTTCTGACCTTCGTCTTTGTTTAAACCCTTGTCCTATCTTAGATCTGCTAGGACCTCCAAGATCCGGGTATGTTTTTCTTGATCTGCATGTTAGACATGTCTGGACGCAAGTGTGATGTGTGTTTCTGACTTTACAGTACTAAAAATGGCTATGGGGGTGTTAGAAAATGCGAGAATTCTAAACTGTAATGCCACAATCCTAATTTCAAAGCCATTACACTTTCTCTGCGATGCATAGTTGAAGCTATACTAACCAGTAGCCACAGCATACAGTTTGCTAATTTCAATGAGCATTGCAATCCAAACTTTACTACTGGTAAGCAGAATTTAATTTTAGTATGATGTAGCTATATTGTTTTACATAAAGTCAAGAGGGACAGTAATAATTACCCTATTTCTAAGATAGACAGGCTGCACTTAATTTTTCCCCTAAAGTACTTGATGTATATGTGCCTGTATGTCAGACTTCCAGCTTTGATAAAAACTCTGTTTTCAAACTTTCCAGATTAGAAGAAAGGTGCAAGAAGGAGAAGCTGCTCCTCAACCTCGACCCCAAGAAAACTGGATCATGCCGCCTGACCAAGTATCAGGTTCGAATTTGGTGTATTTCCACTTTCTGGTGCTGTATGCAGTATGCTTTGTGTAAATTGCAAGAGTCAACACCATAGCACTTTTTCTAAAAAAATATATTTGACGTAAATTGCAGTATGCTTTGTGTAAATTGAAAGAATTGCCTTGTTGCGTTAAATGCACATATGGGCTTCTCAAGTTCAGTAGGTTGGTAGATTAAAAACATGTAATTATCTGTAGCTGATGTGTGCTTCTCTATTCCAGCTGTACTTGATCGTTCAAGAGCTAATTGGAATGCAGGACTTGAAAAGGCTTTGGTTGAACTACTACATGATCACAACAACGACTGTTATAGGAGTCAGAACGCGTGGTCCACAGAAGCATGGAACAGAATCGTCAAATTGGTCCATGAGAAGTTCCCCTATGTCAAATTTACAAAGGTTCAAATTCAAGACAAAGAGAGAGAGCTTAAGAGGGAATATAGAGTTCTAAAAGAAGCAAGACAACAAAGTGGTGCGTCATGGGATGATAAGCTGTGCAGGATTGTAGCAGATCAACCTGTTTGGGACAAAATCCTTTCTGTGAGATTTTTTGTCTTTTGCTGTTAATTCTTTTTAAATTCTTAAATTTAGTGCTTGCTTTAGTCTCATTTGCTAATTACTTTTGGGCCTGTTCGCTCGGAGGAATTTGGAGGAATTTGTCAGAGCGTGAACAGTGTTTTTCATCCGGGAACAGTGAAATCCGGCTGGTTTTCACACCAGCCGAACGCAGCCTTTCATTCTTGTATTCATTAAATAGTCTCATCCTAAGGCCAAGAAATTCCAGAATGAATCTTTCCCATTGTTTGAGGCTTTAGGAGAGCTATATGACGGTATGTTACCATTGCTGAATTTTAACTTTCCTACCAGCCAAGCATGTGTTCAATTCTCCTAAATATTACTTGACTAAACTTTCTGGTGTAGGACAAACTGCCGAGGGAACCCTGAACTTCACCTCAATTGCCCCTTCCCAAGTTCCTATCACTCAGCTTTCCCATGTTCCTCTCACTCAGCCTTCTCAAGCTCCTCTCACTCAGCCTTCCCAAGTTCCTGTCACTCAGCCTTCTCAAGTTCCTGTCACTCAGCCTTCTCAAGCTCCTGTCACGCAACATTATATAGGAGAAGATGAAAATTTCCCCTTTGACTCTTCTGTACACAATGTTGAAACTGATGATGACGAGTTGAGGATATTGGAACAGCCAGTTGCAAGTGGTGCCGCTGCAAGGTCAAGAATGGGAAAAAGAGTTGCAAGCGCTACAAGTAACAAAACAGAAAAGGCAGCACGAAGGCGTCGACAAGATGGAAAGGTGGTTGAGATGATGGGAAGGTTTATAGAAATGAAAGAGAAGCAAGAATCTATGCGGCAAGAAAGGGCAAGAAGTAATCAGCATGAGGATGAGTTCCTCATCCCGGTGTGCATCGCAGTTGTGGACAAGATGGAAGATCTGTCAGATGATGAGAAGGTCGAGGCTTATGATGTCTTCAAAGATCCACAAAACAGGGCCATTTTCATGACCGCGAAAGACTCTACACGACTCAAGTGGTTAAGGAAGAAGATTAGAACTGCATAATCTGGTACCGCTCCTCTTCCATCTTGTTACTGCTCTGTTAATTAGGTTGCCATTTTCCTACTGTGTACTGCATGTTGAAATAAAGCCGTATACTGACATACTAGGAAGCCAATTTGCCTTGTGATTTGTGAGGACTGTGACATGACAAGCACATATTTTCAGCAAGGTTCCTTGTGTCACTTCTCTGAACCCTCCGTCCTTGTGTTACTGTGTTGCCAACTATTCTTTGCTAGTCCTGTTTAACGTATTTGTGGATCAGCCCCTGCATGTATGGTGTTTTGCATTAGTCCCTTATTGCAATCATTTATCAAATAGGTAGCAGTAGTTCTGAACATTAGTAGAAAATGCAGTATGTCTGTTTCTTCAGAAAGTTCAGAGTTTTTCTGTTTCAGTGCAGTTCAGCTGTTCCAGAGCAGCAGCCTTGCATCTTTCTGTGTTGTGTTACTTTCATAATAGTAAATATTTTAGTCAAGCAATCGTTCACAAATATTTGAAGAATTAATTCATTTCCTATTGTATGAACAAGTGCACTTGTACTTTTGTTTCAGGTGATGCAGGGGAAAAAACTCCAATGGAAGTAGAGGGAGATATGCTGGTGTTGGAGTTGTCTCCAAATTTATCTATTACTGTCAAATACTTGACTGTCTTTTGCTTGGATGTTTCATGTCAAAGAAATTATTCATTGATGGAACACCTAGTAGACTTCAAATTATACCTCTGTAGCAGACTTAGCTATCAAAGTTATCTATTACTGTCCAATACTTGGGTTTGTATGTCTGGTGTGTGCTGTTTTTACTTGGATGGTCAGTGTTGAATCAATGATTCTAGCTCACCTATAAATATTTCATGAATCTGTAATATGTTCAGCCATGCCCATGCATGTTAATTTCTCAATTTTCTATGTGAAATTCTGCTCTCGTGTTTTCTTTTTTAATTTCAAATCTGGGTTTTTAGAATTACAGATGGACATACATGTTGGATTTTCTTTTCTGATATTTTCTTTCTTTGGTTATTTTTATTTATTTTTCTGGATCTTTTTATATTGATTTTTACTCACTCTTTTGTTAAGTATTTTATTTTTCTAGTAGTCTTTGAACTCAATAAGCTTCAGTTTGATTTTTTTTTAATTTCTCACATGCATACATAATATATTTGTAGTTCTGTACACATTTGATAATCCACCGTGCATACTGTGATGATGCGACAAGGCTCTGGCCGCTGGAGCAGCTGGGAACCACCGGTCTACCCCCGAGTTCACACGTGGTTGTCAAATCGTGCGTGTATTGGGTGGATGGCATGGATTCATCCAATACTCGGGTGGAACTATTCACACTTGTATAATATACACGGACAGCCAAACGAGGCCTCGGGTGGGACTATTCACACTTGTATAATATACACGGACAGCCAAACGAGGCCTACCAAGTTTATCTCACACCACAGCGTGCCATGTCATCACTGCCACTTCAACCGGGTTGATTTTAAACTACCATCTTGATCTTGGACGCTCCTTATCCTCTGTTGTTTCTTTGCACCTCTTGCAAGTTGCAACACCAGCGAAGAGCCCAGACGCAAGTTGCAACAAAGTGTTCCTGCCCATATGTAATCAAGAGTCCTTCCTTAATCCCGCCGTTTAATGGCGCACTATTCTTCCGGTACTGCTGAACCCAGCCTAAGAGGCTACATGCACAAAAAAAACCTCCGGCTTCTTCCCTATGCTGCTAAAACTGCCGCTAATAATGCACAATCAAGAGAGATTAATTATACCATTCTTATTCCAATGCATTTCCCACTCAGCACTAACCCTTCTCTCTGGCTCTTTATATTTTACAGGCTCTCATATCAGATCCAGCTGCTCGGAGGGAACCTCCATCTCATCACCAGTTCACCATCGTTACTACCCGCAATGACTCTCTCGGCTCCCAGTCAAGTATAGATGCTATCAGCGACCTTCGTTCATGGTCATTCCGTTTTCCTACGTTCAGCCCTCCCTCTTCTAAGATTGAATCAGCTATCGACGGGACAATCATCCACAAGTGTCAGTCATCCCCTTTTTCCTTTCCATATATTTGTCCGCATGCTGCAGTACGTACCACCAATCTAATCCATCCATGGTTATTTGAAGTTCTTTTAAACCTGTTATAAACTGATTTGATCTCTCTATTAATATGTTTTGGTTGCACAACTTACTCATATGCTCAAATTTATTGGGCCACAAATATCCTACCAGGTAGTACCCTTTATTTATTTGTGCCATTCCTTTTCATTTGTTCTAATATTTAATCTGTCATATTTTACAAAATGTACTGTGTGCACAAGCAGTTTTCTAGAGAGATTCACAGTATATAAATGCAATCACAGGGCTAGAGGGCTTTATAAAACAAAAATTTTGCCCTATCACCATGTTTTCACGGTTGGTTACACCAAAAGAAAAAGAGATAATTCCACGTGTGCCACTGGAAATCCGGCGGCAACACGCGGGGTATCTTCTAGTTAGTGTTATAGACAAATCATGTGCGAGTTTTGCAGCGAGCAGCAGCGGTTCTGGGCACACAAGTCTAATCCAATGACAGCGGCTGTGCTCATCATTGTGATGGGGCTATGATTTTCAATAGCCAAAGAGCCACTGATGGGATTGAGCTAGTAAGCTCCTCAGTACCCAAAATAATTTAACAAATAAGCCATCTATGCAGTTCTAACTGAAGCTGGGGAAGATCACAGCTCCAATAAAAATCCAACTAACCATCAGAATCTTCATCATCGCTGGGCTGTTCGTAAATTTCGAACTCCCCATCACTTGCATCAGCGTTGATAGGAGCATCACCTGATTTGTTTTGGCCATCTTCCTGCAATGGCAAGCTGTGCAGTATTTCTTCGAGGTATCCATTCGAGAACCCTTCACCAAATGTATCTGATACAGGTTATGGGAAAACAACTGGGATACCTCATCCAAGGGGAGTTCAGATAGATACAAATTAACATAACACAACTTAAACTTCCAATGTTGTGACAGAAACAACGTCATTCTGGTTTCTAGATAGATGGTTCTTTAACCTTTAAATAGTTAAATATGTTGTCATGAAACATAACCAGACATTAGTGCTGCCAGAAAATAAATATTTAAGTATGAATGACCTATTTTTTATGGAATATTGTGTGTATAAGAGATTAAGCACCAGCAGATGTGAATTAAACCATAGCATGCCCACTTTTTGTCTATTTTTATTTTGAAAACCAGCATAATAATGTCACTGTATCAAGAGAGAAATAATGTCATCGGACATTTCAAAAGAATGGAAATGCTGATCTTGGTCTGTAGACAAAAACAAAGAATGGGAAAACTTAAGAGAAAAACTAAAACCAGTTAAGTGTGATGGAAGAGGACTTGTGTACTTATCTGACCTTATTTCTTCGGGCTACAGATGTATGCTCGACAAAGGCGTGCCTAGTGCAGAGAGCTCCCGCTCTGTGCGGGGTCTGGGGAAGGGTGTTAGTGGCAAGCCTTACCCTCGCCTGTGCAATGCGAGGAGACCGCGACTCGAACCCGAGACCTTCCGGTCACAGCCGGTAAGACTCTACCTCGACAAAGCCATGTAAATAAAATAGGTAAAGGTCCAAAAGGACCCAACCCAAAAAAAAAATGATTTATGTACTAAAACTAGAGCACAAAAGCCAACTAGTATTGAGATAGTGTACTCGTTGTGAGGAGAGAAATCAACACTGATCAATTAAATTCGTCAAGGATACAGGAATCACCTAAGGTGAAATCATGAATATCCTCTGCCTACAAGAGTTATCATAAAGTTTAACTTTTTTTTAGCATATAGTGTGAAATTATAGTAGGTGGTAACATACCATAGGTGGAGAATCATAACCATCCAATTCCTCTTCCTCTTCGTCATCATCCACATCTTCACTATCAGAGTTGTTAGGGCCAACTTGATCCTCAGTTCCAGTTTGTGTGGCAAGAACTTTTAGAGGGGAAAAAGAAAGGAGTTTAACAACCAGGCAGTAGCATGCCAATACAAAATGGACAAACTAGCTTAATAATGTTGTAAGTTGTCTAACTAGCAATATTTTAGTAGTGCTTGTAGCTCAGCAGGCTCACAAATGTTGTATACCAAAAAATATGCTCTGAGATTGAACATGCTCATACAACCGAAGGATGTGCACTTAACTAATGTTAAGAAGAAAGAAGAAATCAAACAGACCTTCATCAGCATCATTATCTTCTCTTGACCGCTCAGATCTCGAAAGGGCTTCCTGCTTCTTGGACCTTTCAATAAGTTCATGGGCATTCCTCAACAAGTTTTTAGCCTCTTCATTATGCAATAAAGAGAGGAACCTTATGCTCACTTGCAACCTCAGGGTTTTGATCATTGGCTTAGAAAACCAACCTGTAGAGCGCTGCAAAGGAATCAGTTATTCCAGAGCACAGATTATAGGGTCTGATTGGTTGCTTGCACATGACTTGCATTGCATTAAGGGTTATACAGCACAGGCTATACCTGCATAAGCAAATACAATTTGCTCTTGTTTGGTTGGTCTACATTACTCTGTTGCATTGTTTATGACTCTGTTTGGTTGGATGCATAGTGAAAAGCTGTATCTAGTAATTTGTGTTTGGTTGCACTGTACCTTTAAGATTGGCAGAGATTACGCAAAAAAAAAAAAAGATTGGCAGAGGCAATTCGTTTGGTTGGTCCGGGCACACTTGACTTCAGGTCAGACAAGAGTGAAGAGTTGACAAGCATGTCGGCGGCGTGTTCCAGCCCATTAAACTAGGGGATACGTAAACATGTATTTCCAATATATTTATTTTTAATTTACTAAAAGAAAAGGACAGTACATGACGTCATGATGCCATCATGCACGACTTGGCCGGCGATTCAGCACCGGTCCAATGGTTTCGATGCTTCGTTCGTGCGTGTAGACGAGCTGATTCGTGCGTGCATGCACCCCGCTAGCACGATGCGGCTGGTCGCCTGCCTTCTCCGGCGGCGACAGACTGTGTCGTACGAGGACTCGTGCAACGCGGGCGAGCTCCGCTCAGGCCACGCATGTTGGCGAGCTCCGGCCCCTCCACACACAACGAGATGACAGATACGGACACTATGCATGGAAGGACACAAGTGCAGAGTGGGTGCAGCAAGCTGCAGAGTGGGTGCGGCAAGCTGCAGAGCGGGTGCGGCATCACATAATCCAATCCTGCATAGTGGATACGACCAATTTTGAGCGCATCCGGTTGTGCAACTAAGAGATGCTTTGAGGAGAGTGCTAGCCTGTATAAGGAGATGTGCAGAGAACCAAACAACTGCCCTTTGCACTACGGTGCGCTGGATAAGGAGATATACAGGCAACCAATCAGACCCATAGTGCACAGAGACTCCAGATACTAGCCATGCATCAAGGTTCACAGGCAATGATCACAGCAAAGTGGAGTGAAGTTGGTTTAAATTAGTAGTTAAAGAAGGGAAAATATCTAATATACCAGTGCTCTCATGCTCCATAGATTTAAACGCCGTGTAAATAGTTATGGAGAACTGAGTATGCTATCATTCAGTTGAAATTTCATGAGCAACTTGATGATAGCATAGTCTTCATCAGCAAAATTTGTCATATTTTCTCATGACCAGTCACATGAGGCTTGGAGTGCAGTAGCACTAGATATGCCCTTGTGAAAGAACAAAGTAGCTACATGCAAAAAAACAAAATAGCTTATTTCTACCTAAGGTTGTCAGTATCCCGATATGTATCCTAGAATCTTACCATACTACATGCTACTGAGTCGAAATGATACTGATCCTACCATGTATCCTAACTTCTATAGTATCCCGATCCTGCGTGAAGGTTCCACACGATCCTACATAAATTTCATAGTATCCCGATACTACGATCCCACAATACTATAATATTTGATATAAATGACTTTCTAAATGATTTAGTTGTGATAAAATACCATTTAATGTTAAGAAACATTGAAAAAAAAACAAGAATTGCACTCAAATGTATAAAAAGTCAAATAAATCAATCAAAACCAAGAATATAGGCTTAAATATTTAAGACATATTATGAATATCATATAAAATAAGTATATAATTTGTAAAATACAATACGATCCAATACTACAATACGATCCTACAATACAATACTCTCGGGCAAAAAATGATCCCACCTAGGATCCCGATACTGACAACCTAGATTAGAAAAAAAAGGCACAGGGGATAGGTGCTAAGCCACCGATTAGTGCCTAAATGTAAATTAAACATGATTAAGCGTTTAAGCACTAGCTACATATCAGGAGATTTAGTTGCATAAATAAATGTAGAAGAATAAATAGAAAAGGAAGAGCAAAGCCATAACAGCCCACTCAACCCACTAAGGGAGGAAGCCCACTAGCCTATCTACAAAACACCCAATGATGCCCTACCACCAATGATTCCCAGTAGCCAATCCTCGTTCTAATGCAGCCATGCCACCTATCCTCCGCCTGCACGGCCCTGTCCGTCGCTCCACCTCTCCATGACGCACCACCTCTGCTCCTCCTGTGCTCACCCAATCCGCTCCCCCTCCATGCCACCCTTGCTTCGGCTGCTGCATGACTCTATGGAGAAACTGACCTAGACATGGCTAGATCGAGCAAAGGGTGAGTGAAATCGAGTGACTTGGGCACCACAAGGTAGACACAGATGGAATCAAAATACAACAAACCATTTTGCCATCCCAATCTCGTCTCTTCTCTTCCTTTCTTCACCATCCATTGGTTGACAATTCATGCCGCGTTTAATTGGACGCCTATGGCCTGGTGACACACTAGGTCTCCGGCCTAGCGCTTAAAGTGAGCGTTTAACGACATTTTTTTAGCACTCAGAGTAGAACAGATTAAAATAAAGCCTGGAAGCAATTGTCTTGGTACTCACTGAACAAACTGATTGATAAGAAGGTTTTCGAATTTCTGCTTGAATAAAGTCATCTTTCAGTTCATATAATTGCAGGAAGATGAAACTCTGTGATGGCATTGCTTCAAGCTTGCACATATCTGCCCACTTTTGAGACCTACAAATACCAAAAGACATTAAGAAAATGTATAAGCACATGGGCGCAGGGGGGGATGCAGGCTGTTGGCCAGGCGAACACAAAGTGGATCTCAGATTTGGGTAAGGCCAGAGGGCAGCTTAGCCCTAGGCCGCTTTGATTGAATTGAAATGCAATAGCATAATACCAAGTGGTCTATGCCACTGCTTTTATAGAGCAGATGGCTTCTCTCCCTCTCACCTGCTCCAGCACTTTCCTAACCACTAAAGTGGGTGCTAAGCATATTCCTAATACTAGGCTATTAGCAGCCGAAAAGTATATGACAGGAAATAGCAAGATACAAGCACTAGGCTTAACTATCACAGGCAACAGAAAACTGTTACATATTGAACTGCAGACCAAGGAAAAAAGTATCATTCAGCAGAACTGAGAGAAATTTTTGTATGGAAGGAAACAAATGCAAGGCCACCCAGAACAATAAAAGGTACTGGTAGACAAATGAATCATCTTCTTTGGGCTTAATCCCCATGGACCAACCCCCACCCCTACCTCCACCTGCCTGCTCCGCATCCTCTCAGCCAACAACCACAGGTCAGCAGTAAATATCCTTCCCCACCTTATCCAATCACCAGGCACAACTAAGGCCTATGTGTCATCCCTCCTTTCAACATTGCCCTAAAATATCTGCTATCTGGACAACCGGAGCTTTATATCCGCCATGATATGTCACCTTAAAACACCCTTTAGCACAAACAAAATCTGTGCAGAATATGTGCAAGTAACCTACAATTAGATGTTGCACAAACATGGAAGTGCATTCTAGAGTTAAACTCAACCCTCAAGCATGACAAATGTGAAAAGATAACCATTAGATTAAAGTTTACAAGCAGTTCTCAAAGTCAGGTCCCCAAAGTCCCAAAATGCATTTTTAGCTCCCTGAGTTTGTAACATGTCTCATTTAGAGGTCCAAACGGATGTTTACCCGACCCGCTATCCTACGTGGCATGGATTTGATAGATGGGACCCACATGTCAGCGGCAAGACTCCACCTTAGAAAAATTGTATTTTTTTCCATATGACCTCGGATGAAGATGATTTTGTAGCTTTCAATCAGATCTGCAACTTTCTAGTTTTGAGTTTTTCATTCGAGATTGTTAAGATGCTAAAAATAAAATAAAAATCAGCAGCATATTAATAGCGTACCAGGGCTTGTCGTTTTAGAAAAACAATATCTTTCTTATATGGTGTCAAAGATAATTTGTATATGGAAATTGTAGCCCTCGATAAGATCTACAAATTTCTGATTGAGTTTTGTCATTTGAGGTCGTTAAGATGCTCAAAAAATAATATAAAGTTTCAGCAGGATATGGCTCACCCAGAATTCTTTGGCCTTAGAAGATATCGTAGCTCAGGAGGCATGCGAAAATCAATTCTCTGATATCTACCAAACAAAAAAAGAAACATTTCAGCTGATAATATTGCTAAAAAGTAACTTCTGTACAAATAGGAAAAAAAATGCAAGAAATAGAAGACTAAAGTATATTTTGAACTTTGGCCTAGTTTGTTCTAGAGCCTCCAAATTTCAGATGTAACACATGAATCCTCTATATACTCCAATGCACATCAGTCTGTCCAACTAACAGTGTTCTAATATGTCCTCTATCCTGTAGTGTGCACAGCCATAGTTGTCCAATCAGCCCATTTGCTTTGGAGGTAAAGTGCACATTGGACCAGATTTGGAAAGTTTCTCCATCGTCACTGTTTCCCACCACTTACTGCCTGCTTGTTCCCTTTTCAATACTTTCCATTCTTCATTACTTTTATATATGTTGTATCCTCCAATCTATTAAGAAATTTGAGATCACATTTTCTCCTCTGATCCTTCTACAGTCTTCTCTCATCTTCTCATCACTGCTGAATGCTTCCATACAAAGACAAGAGAAGCTTCTGTGCTGACCATCCAACACAATGATGATCCCCCACCAATTGCTCAACACTTGATGCTCCTACTATCGTTGTGAGGTTGGAGCACATTTTAGCGTAACTCTTGGAGCACACTCATATGCCTCACCACATTGGACGTTTGGAACAAATGTTTGGTGTATCCACCTGATCAGATGCATTGTCAAGTAGAAATATAATCTTTTAGACAGTCCATATAGAAGAAATGCACAGCATTTTTAGGCTTCTTTAGACTGTGGATGCCATTGGAGAGCTCCATGCCATGCTGCTGATCTTCCTACACACTCCAGGCACTATACAGCATTCTGCTCAGTTCTGCTAAAGCCAAGATGAAGTTCCACCTTACCAGTCAGTGGTTCAATGCCACTGCCACTTGCCAAGTTGGGGGAATGATGACCAATCATTGTCCTCTAAGGCCATGGCCTAAATCTTGCCTCAAACATGAATGAGTAATGGAAAAATTTCAGGGAGCATGTGTGCGATGTTCTGATGTTCATGTAGTTGGTCTGCTGTACATGTACTTTATCTAATATGGCAAACAAGAACAAAGTATGAAACTAAAAGACCTGTCAATGCTCAACACCAGATTTCGCAGTTTTATTGCTTTTCTGTTAGTAAATATGTTGCCTAATCAAAAGCACAGACCACTTTATCTAATATGTCAAATAACACAAACTATGAACCTTAAGGACTGGTCAATGCTTAACACCAGAGTTCCCATTTTTCATGCTTTTTTGTTAGTACATATGTTGCCCGACTGAACAAGAAACTTTTGAACCATAATTCAGCTGGAAAAGAAGGAAAAGAAGGAACAGCTGGGGCCTACAATAATGCAATGGAATAAAAAACACAAACAAATTTGTTAGGCCATGAACAATACAGATACTTTAACAAAACAACTATCGCGCTTACATTCGTGACTCAGAATCTTTACGAGGGTCATATCCTCTTCTGATCCAGAATTTTCCAAAGGGTCCAGTAGAGAAGTAGTATCCAGCTCTAAACAGAAGCCTGAGCAAATAAAAAGGCATGAACACAGACCAAGCAAAGAAAATAACAGTTGAGACACATAACAAAGGATTGACTAATAACAAGAGTGGAAGGAATAGATAAACCTTTTGAATTGGTTTTGAGAGACATGCACACTATCATCAAGCAACCGCTCATAAAGTGATTGCCTTGGCCACACAGGACGCTCATCAAACAATTTGCAGACAGCCATTTGCCAATCCCAATCTACAGAATTCTTTCGAACGTGGTCTTCCCAATTAATCTTCTCCGGGACAAGTATATGCCAATTAAGGTAACAAAAAAGGCATGCATGTATTGCACAAGTACATCATGACCAATGTACAAGAGGCAGGCATGCAATAAAACCTTTAGACTGAGAGGGAACAGGATTTTGCTTCTTATAAAAAGAATACCACATTGTCCTCACTAAAAATGACATGCAAAACGAGTAGCATAAATAGGTTTTTTCTTTTCATTATTGCTATAAGATATGGTTATGGTGCTTGCCATTCCACTACCCAAAGAATCAACACGAATATGGATTTCATACTCATTACTCTGCAGAAAGGGAGAAAGCATGCTTTTAACAAGTGATAGACCTTCATTAGAATGTGGCGATTGATAATGTCTGGTAGGTACTTCTGAAAATCACTGTGACAGTATCTGGACATGGCATATGCATCTGATATTGGAATGCATCCAAAGCATATCAGGAAGAATCATGTTTTGAAAATAAATCAAATACTATCCATGCGCTTCTCGAACCCTAACACCAAAACAGGTACATCTTGGAACCCTCTCTCATCCACAGCTACAGCCTATTCTCATGCCCTTTTCTGGCAGTCACTCATGTCCTCCAGCTACTTTCCACACACTACACCTGAACCCAGCCGCACAGTGGGTTCCTCTGCCTGCCACTCTCTTCTTCGGTTCCTTCCTTGAAAAGATTGTTCCTTCTTTTCTATAAGTTTTATTTTCTTGAATTACCTTTCCACAAATAGAGGTTCTCTTTGTCCCATTTCTGATTTATTACCTCTTTTAGTTGCATTTGATTTTCCTAATTAGTATGCACATACTTCATGAAGATCATGATATCATAGAGACATAGACAAATTTTCCCAAAGGATATCTTGAGTGTTGAACGGAAGCGCAAGAGTTGGTCCAACGTTCATCTGCAACCAAAGAATAAAGTCATAATTGATATATTCAGTTAGCCATTTCATACTAGGTAGAGTGCCTGTATCTCTGAGGAAAACTATCCACGGCACTGTATAAAAATCCATATATGTAAGCAAGAAATCAAGATTATATACCTCCCACCGTTCTTGTACGACTCCCCTGTGCATGGTTTTAGATAGGGCATTGGACGATGGTAGAAGCCTAGAAAAATAGCACCATTAAATATTTTAAATATTAGGCACCTTTATGGCATTGGATGATGGTAGAAGCCTAGAATAGCATTAATAATATTATACAAAAAAATTTAAATGGCAAAGGAACCAGTGAAAAGAAATTTTACATATGCTAATTGTTAAAAGTTTTTAGAATATGCATATATTTACTACTATGCATAAAGAATTTCGGTAGGCCAAAATAGGAACGATTAGGTGAAGAGACAAATCAAGATCCGCAGGCTACTTAACTTTAATTTTTGCAATGGGTGTTTTTCACTTATGAGCATGTAACACTCCACGTCCAAAATCTGCCTATGGCTCAGCTCGTCCCATGGCACAGGCCCACATAAGTGTAGCACCTCTCTTATACTTTCGTCCTCACTTCGTGAAAAAACATTAACCTAGAGGTGCTATGTTAAGCGCGACAAGGATTATAAGCTGGTCCGCACCCTCCTAACTTCTAAAGTGGTACTAAACCCACCAACTACAACCACACAAGGCTACATAAGCCAACTACTACAGGCTACTAAGGGCCCGGTATTACATTCAAACCCCCCTACTGCCTAGGGTGTAAGACATTAAGGGGGTTGAATGTAATACCCGGCCCAATGGTGAGCTACCCGGGGCACGAGCCATTAAGGGGGTTGGATTTAATACCCTAGCCCATTAGTAGCCTATAGTAGTTGGCTCGTGCGGCCCATGTGTGGATGTAGTTGGTGGATTTAATACCACCTTGAAACTTTAGGAGGATGAGGGCTCAGCTTATAATTCTTGTCACCAATGCTTTTACATGAAGCAAGAATGAAAGTGTAAGAGTGTCACCGACCAAAATAAGGGCCACAAGTCAGGCCAAACGGGACCCAGGATGGGGCCCAAGCCAGCCACACCCGCGCCACCAGAGGGGCATGCGCCCAGGGAGGGGCGGCTGCCCGCCGCACCGACAACCCCCATCCCCCGGAGGAGCCCAAAATAGAAAGAGATAGGAAGGAGATTTGGCAAAATTAGGAAAAAAGTAGGGAAATTAGAAATAGAACTTGTTTAGGAAATAAGATTAAATAAGATTGGTTTGATAGGAAAAGAGAAGTCCAAATCTATAAGGACTCTTCCTTTAGGTTGCTTGGAATACAGGCTTCTAGGGACTATAAATATAGGGGCGACGTAACCGTTTCAATCTAAGCAGAAAATAGAGTCTCGACTCTTCCCCTAACCCCCTCTCTCTCTCTCATGCATATATAGGCCAGAAGCCCTACGCCACCGCCCCCCCTTCCCCCAAGCAGGACCATGACACATGGTATCCAAAGGCGAGATCGGGTCCATGGGCAACACCAACATCACCACGGAGCTACAACAGCTCATTGAGGGCTTCATCACCGACCTAAGCAAACGCTTCGATGAGGTGCACAAATAGGTGATCACGATCAACACCCGCCTGCAAACAAGCACGCGCCAAGGACGACGTCGACATCGCCACAACAAAAGCACGATTGGACCGCGAATCCACTATCAAAAAGCTAGAAGCGGAAACCAAGCGTGCTATGCTGGCCGCCAGACACGCCTTCCTCAAAAAAAGGATGGAGGACCCCACTCATCAAGCACGCCAGAGATCGTGGAGGAGGTAACAAACAATTTGTGCGTCCACCATGAACCCGCGAGAACAACTCCACCTCCACGCCAACAACCCATCAACACCAAGTTGTCAATCCCCACATATGGCAGAACGACGGATCCACTGCCATGGCTCTCCCGCATAGAACAACTCTTCAAAGGGCAGCAAATAGATCGATCGGGTCCATGGGCATCTAACAAGTGTGGCAAAGTACATCACCACAAAGGACGAACCGATGGTCGACTAGGAACACTTTGTCCGCTGCATCAACACTTCGAGCACCGATCCATTGAGGGGCTTTATCACCGACCTCGGCAAACCGACGCTTCCTTACACATGCTACATGCCCGAACCTATGACAAATGCCAACAAATGATCACGAACGGCCTCAAGAACCACTCAAATCGCACCGCAAACAACACAACCCACGCCATATCGTGGGCAAGGACATCAAGACACGCCGACATCGCCACAACAAAAGCCGATGACAACCAAGCAGCAATAATAACTCACCATTGGACACGTTGAATCCACTATCCTTCCCCATGCCACTCCCTCTACGCTACATCCCTCCCCTGATGACACTCCTCCCACGCTACGTCGACAACCCTTCTCGATGACGCTCCTCCCACGCTACGTCAACCAGAGCAACACAACGGGACTACGACAGCCAAAGGCATTGACCGCCATCGAGGCCAACTCCGCTTACAAAGTTTGAGAAAGGCAGGAAGTATACTTCAAGATATGCATATCCAAAACATTTTTGATGTGTCAGGAGCAAAATATGTTCTATCAAAAATCATGTGCATACAAAGCGCCATATCAATTCATATCTTGGAAATTTCACTAACAATTTTTCAGGACAAAGGCTAATTTGTACCCTTTTGAAGGCAGTGAAGCGAATTTCAAATACAGAGAGTTGAAGAAATCAAAGGTCAGCTTCATTTGCTATTTTTGTAAGAAATATCACTTACGCTATCTTTGTTGGTCTATCCTTCACTGAGAAGAGTGGGGGCACCAACATCATGACATCTCCATCTGCTTCATGATGTCCTGTCTTATCTGTCATCCAGAAAAGGAGGATATTGACTAGAAATGGCAACATCACAAGAAGCTGGTAATCCTCAAAGTAAAGGGTTTCAGAAAGCAAGGTACCGCTACTTAAATTTTCATTATCATTTTGAGAATCTGAACGTTTTCTTTTTCTCGTTTGTGCAGCATGCACTGGAACAACATGTTGAAAGTCTGCCATACCTACATATACCTGTATATCAGCAAATTTGCATGTAGAATAAACCAATGTTAAGGTATCAGGCATAAGTTGTGATCATACGAAATTTTGGGGAGGTATGGGAGAATCAACTTTCAAACAATATAAGATAATGGAATAACAAAAGGCCAAAATCAATTCAATTTTATTGACTAGTCCAGTATGGTATGCACATTGGGCATTCCTTGAAGGGTCTGTTTGGCACACAAGGATGGGAAAAAACATGGGAAATAGATAAAAAAATCAAAACAGAAATTAAGTAAATTCATTGGACATGGCTGTTTGGATGAAACACGGAAAACATAGGAAATTATGGTAAAGGCTCTAATCTACAAAAACAAAACAATGCAAGTACAGGACATGATTTCATTGCTAAGGAGGCATAAAAGCAAAAGACCCATTATTCAAGAGAATCCACAGCACAAATTTATCGAGACTTGATGAGCACCTCTGCACCCTCTGCTTCTCTCCCTCTCGTAGTGCCCTGTTCTTTGGTCGCCTGCCCCCTCACCCTCTCCTTCTCCCTCCCTCCCTCTCTCATTCATGTTTCTAAGACATGTTTCTATCCTCTTTCATGAATCCTAGACCAGGCGTGTTTGGAAAAGCGGTTGCCGACCAAGCGGTGCGGTATGCGTATCACGGTCCTCGCACCGCGGTACATAAAACGCAGGCCCTTGTTCATTTCTACGGTCCTGGTGCTGTGTGTGGGGAAAAGAATCATATCACCATGGGAACGTTTGGCGCGATTCTCAGCTTCTTTTCACCACCGCCGCAGGGAACGCAATCCCAAACACGCCGTATGTCATCTACTTTTGAACGAAACAACAATTAAAGAAACAATAAGCATTCTGCAGTAGCTGTAAGTAGAGACAGTTAGGGTTGATCTCGGCTCATCAAAGACTTGACCAAGTCTTGAGGAGCCTAATAGCTTTTGTCTAAGCTCTGCCCATGATAGGTGGGCCCAGTAACCAACCAAATGGCCCTGGTCCAGGTCCACCCCAAGGTATAAGAAAGGGCAACCCATAGCTTCTTGAGTTGGGGCGCGATTAGGGTCATCAAGCCATAACCTCCCAATCAGGTTACCCCAGGTGTGGTCTGAAGACTAGTGGCTAGCCGCCAGCCAGAGTGTGACAGTGATCTACAAGAACCGCGAATCTTCATCGACCAGTTCATTGTCAACACCATGCCTGCTGCTAGGAGCAGGCACGGGACGTCAGCAGCCCATAGGGCATTGCAAGTATCCCAGGTAAGTGCACAATTAAGTGTTAATTAAGTTGGTTTAAGTGTTCATGCCTTAGGTTAGTTAAGATCCTTAACAAAGATTAAGTCTAACAGAGACCATACAATTTTGTGTGCCAATTGGATCAAATAGAGTTAATACCTAAATCTGAGTAGGGATATTAGAGCTCATCTGTGCTAGTAGTTCTGAAAAAAACTTCACTCTGCACAGCTTGTTTCTTTCAAATTTGGTATCATCATTGCAACACGGTATTTAGGTATGGTACTAAACAATGATAAAAAAATATGTTGAGATTGTAGCAAGAAAGCTTGTATCGTACGTACATTAAATTAACAAAATGTCTAAAGCCCTCCCATCATCCTACAGGACCAACCCAGCCCACGACTAAATGTACCAAGTTCTAACATGCAGACTTCCAACACATCAACCAATCCATAGGGACTGCAAACGAGGCATTTCATCGAACGCTTTGCGCTCTGGGGCATGGGGCACTTACCTTCGAAGTGGTAAGCAGTCCGGACACGAGCGACCACCTCGGCGCAAGGTGCCGCAGCTCCCTTGCGCTTGGAGAGGCGCAGCAGAAGGCCAGTGGAGGCGCGGGACTGCCCGAAGGCTGGATGGCAGTAGGGGTCCTCGGGGCGGAAGCGGAGCTCGAGGCGGGCGCCGGGATCGGAGCTCCGGACCTGAGAGAGGGGGAGGAGGAGCCGCACGGACGAACATCAGTACACTTCGCTGGGGCGAACCGCCAGCTGGAACTGGAGAAGGGTTAGGATTTCCGGGACTAGTGCCTTGGCGATGCCGGGGAGACCGCCGAGGGTGCGGGCGGCGCGGGCGGGGGAGGAGGGGTAGCCCGGGTAGTGCACGGCGAAGGCCTCGGCTGCTGGTAGCGTGCCGGAGATGGTGCCGTCTGTGATGGTCCATGGGGACGGCGGGATCACCGGCTCTGGCGGCGCGGTGGTGGGGGAAGAAGGCGAGGAAGCCATTGGACTCGGCCACTCGGGAAGAACCGAAGGACAGGGAACTGGAAGTAGACACGGCGCGCAGGAAACAGTCAGGCGCCAGCCGCGAATAGTACAGCACAGCAGGCACGCCTGGTGGGAGCAAGGCGCGTGGGCCGCGTGGTGGATTGCCGGATTCTAACCAGGAATGGGCCGGCGCGGCCATCTCCTGCGTTAGTGTGGGTGAACAAGAAATTGTCTTTTTTGAACCTTCGACTATTCACAAAAGTCCCATTTTTTTTTCTCACTAGCAGAGTGTCTGTGCTAAGTGCTGGTTGGGTAAGAAATTACTCGAGCATCAAAGTTTAAACACAAGACAAAGTTGTATTCATTTCATGATCGTACTGTACATGTCAGAGAAAGTATTTATAGGGCCCCAGTCTTCGTATCTTACATAAAATAACTATTTTACTCCTAACTCAAATATTTACAACCATTTTCAACTATAAGGGCGAAGTGGTCATTTTACACTACTTCAGTTTTCATCCCTCTATTTGGTCATTATTCTTCTGGGAAATTCTGCCTTTTGTGTTAGTCGATTTCTGCCCTGCTTTTCTTTGTCTTCGTTAATCAGCGAAGCCAAATCTTTACCCGCGAAGTTAAACTTCTGTTTTTGCTTTGGTCTTGACTTCTTTATCTTCATTTCTCCTTTTTGGCGAAGTCAAATCTTTTCATACGAAGTCGAAATGTTGTCTTCGCTTTCCTTTTTCCTGCAAACAGATTTCGTTACGGAATCTTAAGAATTGAGCTCCAAAGTTTGGAGCTGTGTTTTGTGACGAAGTTCAATTCCCAACAGCAGTCCCTCGCGGACGAAGGCCTACTCCAAAGGTCTGAATTCCGCGAAGTTTGAATTTTAAAACGTAGACAGAAAACGCAGTACCGAACTTTGGAGTTGGCCGTTTATATCCGTTAGACTGTGTACAATCTATGTTGTTTTTTTAATTGCAACAGTCGAATTTGACCCCCGGAATTCGAACCGTTGGGTTTGACCCGAAGCCGCCTATATATACTACGCCCCTTCCCCCTGTTTTTGTTGCTTCATCGAAGATGGGGAGGTGCTGCTGAATTTTTTTAAGCGAAGTCGAATTCTTGCGAAGCCAAGTTCTTTTGCGAAGACTACTTTTCTCTTGAAAGCTTTTAAAGTTTGATTGGCTAAGATTAATTTTTACTTTACTTTGTTTATTTGTATTTAGTTTTTCCCTCCTTTTATTTTTCATCTTTTGAGATATCTTTTTTTAGATGTCTGAGCAGGAGAAGAATGCTTCTGATAATTCTCTAGTTGGTTCTAATCAATCTAGATATGGCGAAGATTTGTCAGATGTCTCTGCGTCAGAGTTAGAATTGGTTGAAGACGACACCAAGTCTTTGATTTTTGGTAAAACATTGATGGTTGAAGCCGAGTTGGATTGAATGGTTACAAATAGGATGGTGGAAAAGGCTTCTGTTCGTTTGCCTAAAAATAAAACAACTCCTAAGCTAGAGCCTCATGAGTGTGTTGTTTTTCGGGATCAATTCTCTGTTGGACTTCGCTTGTCTTGTCAGGATTTTGTTGAAGAAATTTTGAATGTGTATAACATTGAGATGCATCATTTGACTCCGAATGGGATAGCTAAAATTGCTCTTTTTATCTGGGCTGTGAAATCTCAAAATGTGAACTTGGATATTGGAGCCTTTTGTACTCTTCATGAGATGCATACTCAGTTTAGGAACAAAACAGTGGATGGTAAGAATATTGTTAAGTACTTTGGTTGCTGTAGTTTTAATCCTACTCGTGGTGCTAAGCATATTGCACCAGCTTCCAAGAACAAATGGGTTGAAAATTGGTATTGATATTGGTTTTATCATTCTGTTCATTTGGTTGAAGAGAAGGAAAATTCAAGGAAGATTGTGAAGAAGTATCCTATGGCTGCGAAGATGACCAAGAATATTTTTGACTGTAAGCCTGAATTTGCTAGTTCGAAGAATTCTAGAACTTGTGAAAAGGCTTATAAGTTGACTGCCAATCTGCAAAGTGCTCGTGATCTTTGCGAGGAATATATCGCAACTCGTGTTTGGCCTCTTAAAAAAGGCTGGAGCTTTGAATGTTTTCATAAGAAAGTTGTGAGAGGAAAAGATTATTTGTATCTTGACAAAGAGGCTTTTCGTTCGAAAAAGTATTCGAAAGATAAAGATTTTGTTTCTGCTGTTGAAGTCAAGACAGTTGAAATTCTTGGTAAATTTTTTAAGAATGAGAAAGATTTGATGGACAAAATTCTGGGGAAGGATTATAAATGTTTGAATAGGGTTTTTGAAATTGCTCAAATCACATATAATGAAAGGCCTCCACCAGCGTATTCTCGTACAAGCCAAGTATAGAGAATGTTACAAAGAAGAAAAGAGTTGGTGATCAACCTACTAAGAAAACTAGCAAAAAGAAGAAGGTTTCAGCTTCTTTTGATTTAGAAAGAGTTACAGAAGATGAAGTTGATTTGGGTGTTGATGCTGACAGTCAAGAAGTTCTTAGTCAGCAAGCTCACGAAAATGAGGTGAGAATGATTAGTTTAGTTTTTAATTCTAGTGGTTTGACTCCGCCGATGTTGACTCCGCTTGGTGACTATTTCTAGAATTTGGCTTATGATGAAAATGTTGGTGGAGGTAATTTGTCTTTGCCTCAAAAAAATATTGGCGAAGACACTTTGCCTTCTTCACCTCCTATTGTTGATGCTATTGCTACTATTGCTACTGCTACTGCTGAAGTGCATATTGAAGAAGGTGAGATTGTGGTTAAGGATTCGCAGGAAACTGTAGAGCATTCTTCTCAAAGATTTGTTGCTGAAACTCCACTAGAAACTGCGGGGGATGTTGGTGCTACTCTTTATGTTACCTCGCCTCCCCAAATTATTTTGTAAGATACTGATTTAGGAGGTGGGCCTATGGAGAGTGATGCTCCAAGAGTTAAAGCACACAAGGGTAAGGGTACTACTACCGTTACCCTTGATTTTGATGATTATGATGATGATATCTTTGACAAAGAGGTCCAAAATGCCTGTGCTTCTCGTCTTACCGAGTCCACAATTGATGTAAATACTGGTGAAAAAGTTGAATATCAACTCGAGAAGGGTGTTTCTACGAGTAAGTTTGTTTTGTTTTCTTTGCACCTGTTTTTTTTTTACTTTTGACTTTGATTATTGACTTACTAACTTTTGACATGTCTTTTTTGTGCAGAGGAATTTTTCTTGGACCCTTCATCTCAAAGAGAGACGAATGTGGATGTTGGAAAAATAAAAGAGGTGGCTTAGGAGCCTGCTACTCTAGCTGAAGCTTTAGAACTATTCCTAGTGGAGTGGACCCAGAGGCATACAAACGTTGTTTGGAGTACTACCAAGCTTAAGGTGTGAATTTAGACACTTTTAAATTTATTATAGATAAACTTCATATTATGCCGAAGAAGCCAGAATTAGAGTTGTCAAGGTGCATTGATGATGCCTTCGTAGTTCCTGACGCAGAGGCTAAACTTGTTGGTAAATCTTCCCTTGAGTTGGCAGACGCTAGTGTTACCATGATTTACAAGGTTTGTATGTTTTTGTCTGACTTCGTATGTAACTTTGGCTTAAATTTTTTATGTTGATTTACAAATGTTTCTTTGTATGTTTTGACTTCGTGTGTGTGTATATATATATATTGATGTTATATTTTTTGTAGAATGCTCTTTTGCAAAGGAGTTTGCATAAATCTCTTGAAGAAGATGCGAAGAATGTTACGCTTCGCGAGAAAAGTTTGCTTGAGGAGATCAAATCTTTGAGGTCTCAACTTACTGCTAAAGAAAAAGAGAGAATAGAGATGGTTGAAGCTCTCTGAAAGTGCATCTAGCCCTTTAGTGAGTTTTGGATGATTGAATGACAACGTGATTAAAGGTCTAACCTATTTGTTAAGTGTGGACAGGTAATAGGTTATCTCACAAGTACTTAATGAAAGCCAAAATGATGTGTTGTTGTATAAATAATCTAGTTCAAGCACAAGACAACAATGCAAATGGAATTCATGCGAAGGCTTATTTATTGTGGGATTTTCATGTACTATGTGAAAGCAAGCCCGGTAAAAATTAGTTGATGAAACATGAGGGATTGCATATGGAATAGTCTCATATTTGAAGCTTGCTAAATTGAAATGAAAAAGATAACAATACAAATGAATGGATGATTCAACACAAGATATCACTTGATGGCTGAGATGGTGAAGATAGAAAGGAAAGGCTTCGAGGTACTAAGCAAGGGTGAAGGGCAAGTGATGGCTTGGCGGCCGAAGAACCTAGCTAGGGTGAAGAAGAAAGTACTTGCATTTAGTTGAGGTACTAATCAAGCTATGATGGTCATATTGATGTGGATGATCAAATCTATATTGGACAAAGTGTTGGAAGTGACTTGATGCATTTGGAGTTATTCATATTTGATGAATGGAATCAAGTCACGTGCTCAAGATGTCTATGCTCAAGTGTAAAGATCAATATCAACATGTTGGTAACCTTACTTGATGAAGATTGAAAGAGACGACGTTAATTCAAAAAGATCAACTCAAGCGGTATAAATTCATTTTTCATTTGATCATGAGTTTAATAGGTATGCCGTACTATTAAGAGGGATGCATCATGTTGATAGATAATCATTCATAAGTGCTCATGCCAACCCATGTGAGTTTTAGAGTGTTTGAGAGACAAAATAGCTAACTTGTTTTTACTGGTCTGGCGTATTGACACCGGACGTGTCCGGCATGTGCCTAGCCATGATAAAATTCTTGATGTTCTTGGGTTGATTCGTCGGGAGTTTCGATGGTCGAGAGTTCCGGCAATCGTCGGGAGTTCCGACGTCTCGCGCTTAACTGACTTGGAGAAGTTCACTGTCCTGGTCATACCGATGTCCGGTATGGACGGCTAGAGGCCAATGGCTAGTTTTCAAATGCCTTGAGGGTCGGGAGTTCCGACGTGAGTCGGGAGTTCCGACAGTCGGGAG